TCCAAAGCCTTCCTGGACCCAAACCCTAAACCCTAAACCCTAAACCCTAAACCCTAAACCCTAAACCCTGAGCCTTAAGCACTGAGCAAAGCTAAATAGCTCCCTTAGAGCGCAATAGTAGCATATCCAGCAGCAGCAGGCAGCAGCAGCAGAGGCAGCAGCAGAAGCAACTGCAGCAGCAGCAGAAGTAGCAGCAGCAGCAGCGACAGCAGCGGCTGCGTCTTTTCATTCGCCCAGAGAACAACAAAAAGAGCAGCACGAACAGCAGCAGATCCGTAGAAGCAGCGGCAGCAGCAGCAGCAGCAGCAGCAGCCGCAACAGCAGCAGTTGCAACAGCAGCAGCAGCAGCCGCGGCAACAGTCGCAATAGAAGCAGCCGCAGCAGCAGCTGCAGCAGCAGCCGCCACAACAGCAGCCACAGCAGCAACCGCAGCAGCACCCGCAGCCGCAGCAGCAGCAGCAGCAGCAGCCGCAGCAGCAGCAGCAGCAGCAGCAGCAGCAGCAGCACCTGGTAGCAGCAACAATGGGGGAGAGGGCCTGAATAAAAGCTTCCTTGAGGGGCTGCAGGCAGCTGAGGCAAGAAACTTCAGCAGCAAATTCTTTTCCGAAGATTGTGGAGACAAGTGCGGGGGGCAGGGCGAACCAGCTGTCGACGTCTTGCTGCTGCTGCTGCTGCTGCTGCTGCTGCTGCTGCTGCTGCTGCTGCTGCTGCTGGTAGCTGCGGAGCAGGTCGAGCTGCTGCTGGTAGTGGTCGGGCAGCAGCCCTTCTGCTGCTGCTGCTTTCTGCTGCTGCGAGACAGCTCTGCAGTCGAGGTAAGAGAGGTTGGTCAGCAGGGAGAGGATCCTGCGGCTGCTGCTGCTGCTGCTGCTGCTGCTGCTGCTGCTGTCCTGCGTGAGGGGGTTGTTGCTGAGACACAGGGCCCGCAGCTGCGGCAGCAGCAGCAAAACCCCCAACTCCGCAAAGTCCGATATGCTGTTGTGGGCAAGACACAGCAGCGAAATGCTGCAGCAGCTTTTAAGAAAGCTTTAGCTGCTGATCTTGTTGTGGCTCAGCAGCAGCTGCTGCAGCAGCGGCAGCAGCGCGAGGCCCCCCACGCTGCTCAAGTTGTTGAAGGAAAGATCCAAAGACTGCAGCAGCAGCAAATTGAAAGGGCCCATGTCCACGTTCCGCAGCAAATTGTTCGAAGCGTTCAAACGCTCCAGCCAGTCAGCAGCAGCAGCAGCAGCAGCAGCAGCAGCAGCAGCAGCAGCAGCAGCAGCAGCAGCAGCAGCAGCAGCGGAAGCAGTAGTAGTCGTTGGCGAGTCAACAGCAGCAGCAGCAGCGCACTTCAGTGTGCACTTCGTGGCGGCAGCAGCTGCTGCAGCAGGACTGGTGGCGAACTTCGCAGCAGCAGCAGCAGTAATAGACGATTTAGCAGCAGCAGCAGCAGCAGCAGACGTAAGTGTTAAATAGCAGCAGCAGCAGCAGCAAAGCAGCAGCAGCTGGGGCAGCGGCGCTCAAACCCACACTGCTTTGCTGCTGCTGCTTCCGCTGGTGCTGCTTCCACTGGCACTGCTACAGCTGCTGCTGCTACTGCTGCTGCTTTTGCTGCTGCTACTGCTGCTGCTTTTGCTGCTGTTACTGCTGCTGCTTTTGCTGCTGCTACTGCTAGTGCTGCTGCTGCTGCTGCTGCTGCTGCTGGTGCTGCGAGAGCCTGCTCGGGCACGCCTTTTTGACCCCAAGTGACCTTTGCTGCTGCAGCTATAGCAGCAGCTGCAGCAGCAGCAGCAGCTGCAGCAGCAGCTGCAGCTGCAGCAGCAATTTAATTCTTTTCTTTTTTCTCAAAGTTTTCATTAATTTGACTTTGGCGCTCACTGCTGCTAAGCTCGGGTGTACGTACACTGCCTTTCAAAAACTCCATTTCCATTTGCTGCCGCTTAATTCGTGGAATGGCGAGCGGCAAGTCCTAGGGTTTAGGGTTTAGGGTTTAGGGTTTAGGGTTTAGGGTTTAGGGTTTAGCTGCTGGCTACAGGGGGGCGTGCTCGACACGAATTGATGCCATAGTTGAGTTTGGTTTGGTTTAATGAATTTGATTGAATTAAATCAAATTAATTTTAATTAAATAATTTAATTTAATTTAATTTAATTTAATTTAATTTAATTTAATTTAATTTAATTTAATTTACTCCGAAAGGTCTCTAAGTTGTTGAGCCGCACGAGGTTGCGGTTGCTGAGGTCGAGGGCCTTAACGTTGGGGAAGTCTGCTGCAGTGACTGCTGCTGCTGCTGCTGCTGCTTCTGCTGCTGCTGCTGCTGCTTCTGCTGCTGCTGCTGTTGCTGCAGCGTCAGGTGTACAGACAGGCCGCCGCGGGGGGTGTACCTCCACTGCCCCCGCACACAGCATTTCCACCCCAACAACTTGGTGGTTTGCTTCGGGTTCTTCTTCCTCTGCTGCTGCTGCTGCTGCTGCTGCTGCTGCTGCTGCTGCTGGGGTCTCTGCAGCGCCTGCAGCAGCTCCTGCTGCTGCTGCTGCTGCCGGCGGGTTGGCCCTCGGGGCCTCCTCCGAAAGCGCAAACGTCACCGTCGACTTTCCCCCGGAAGACTCCATTGCCGGAAACCCTAAACCCTAAACCCTAAACCCTAAACCCTTGTTCTGGGCTCTATGCCCTAAGCCCGCAGCTCTAAACCCTAAACACTAAACCTTAGAACTCTGCGGCCAAGTGCACGCAGCTAGCATGCTGCTGCGCCGAGAAGACCGCCAGAGCGATCTCTACCCTAAACCCTAAACCCTAAACCCTAAACCCTAAACCCTAAACCTCGAAGCTGCTAGGGCGGCGGGCGCTCCAGCAGCAGGAGATGTCGGAGTGCCGCATTTGCGGGGCCGCAGCTTTCTTCTCTTTTTGTTTCTTTTTAATTTTATTAAATGTTTAAATTAAAATAATTAAAATTGAATTTGCTGCTGCTGCTGATCTAGAAGGATCCCAGATGCGCAGCGGGAGCCGCGGTGTCTTCGGGGCGCCTCTGGGGTGTACGGACAGCGCGCAGCAAGGACGCTGCTCGAATTGCGCTCATCTTTTCAATTATTTATTTCATTTTATTTATTTTTAAAATAATAAACAATTAAAAAGCTTCTGCAAGTGCTCGACGCGCAAAGCGCGCTGCTGAAACCGCTAGTCTGCACACAAATACGCTGCTGCTGCTGCTACTATTGCTGCTGCTGCTGCAGCAGCAGCAGCTGCTGCTGCTGCTGTTTTTGCACACATTTAGCCCAAATTAGTACTATTACAATTTATTTATTATGTGGCAGCTTCTCTGCTTCAGTTCAGTGCGATAGCCTAACCGCAGTTTGCAATCTCCTTGGGGCGTCCAATCGAGACTGCTGCTGCTGCTGCTGCTGCTGCTGCAGCTGTTGCTGCTGCTGCTTCTGTGCAGTCCCTGCTGCTGCTTCCAGACGTTAGCCTCAAGTGAGAATCAGCTGCGCAGCCGTTGACACAGCTGCAGCAGCAGAAGCAGCAGCAGCTGCTGGCGCAGCAGCATCGCGGTCTTGCCGGTGGTCAGTGGCAGCAGCAGCAGCAGCAGCAGCAGCAGCAGCAGCTTCCACTCGTTTCTGTATATGTCTACCAGTTAACGCCGATCCTTGGGACAGAGCTGCTTTCGTGTGCACGCGCAGCAGCCGCAGCTGCAGCCACTGTTCCTGCTGCTGCTGCTGCTGCTGCTGCCACTCTTGCTGCTGTTGCTGCTTGGCGAGTCATTGCTGCTGCTGTTGTGGAGTCTACACAGCAGCAGCAGTTCATTGAAAGGCTTGGGTTCACCGTGTCGCAGTCGCGCAGCAGCAGCAGCAGCAGCAGCAGCAACAGCAGCAGCCGCAACAGCAGCAGCAACCGCAGCAGCAGCAACAGCAGCAGCAGCAGCAGAGGAGACACAAGCAGCAGCAGCAGATGGGGCAGACGGAGAGCACGGAGGAGGCACCTCCAGCAGCAGAGGTAGCAGCAGAGGCCCCACAAAGTGAGAACCCTAAACCCTAAACCCTAAACCCTAAACCCTAAACCCTAGCTGTGAGCCCTAGACTCTGGATTGTGGAGCCTTTGTGTCCGCCGCTCACTGTTTGCTGCTGCACCTGTGTCCCTATTTTTCAGCTGCAGCAGAAGCAGCAGCAGCAGCAGCAGCAGCAGCAGCAGCAAAGGTAGCAGCAAGAAAAGCAGCAGCCGACAGCTGGGCCAAAAGAGACTCAACAGCTTCAGTGGGTTCCACCACAACTACAGAAGAAGCAGAAGCAGCAGAAGAACCTGCTGCAGCAGCAGCAGCAGCAGCACCTGCTGCTGCTGCTGCTGCTGCTGCTGAGGACAAGAGGCCCCAGGAAGAAGCAGCGCTCAAGAAGCAGCAAGGTAAGTCCTAGCCACATGCACTGCAGCAGCAGCAGCAGCAGGTCTGACGTAGTATGCACGCAGCAGCAGCAGCAGCAGGTCTGACGTAGTATGCACGCAGCAGCAGCAGCAGCAGCAGCAGCAGCAGACAGCAGCAGCAGGTGCATGGATCTGCCTCCTCGTCCTTTTCTGCTGCATCTGTGTGGGCGTGAAGGAAGCAGGGAACAGCAGCAGCAGCTGCAGCAGCAGCAACAGCAGCAGAAGCAGCAGCATAAAAAACAGCAGGAACAGCAGAAGCAGCAGCAGAAGCAGCAGCAGAAACAGCAGCAACAAGAGCAGCAGATACTGCAGCAGAAACAGCAGCAGCAGGAGCAGCAGAAGCAGAGTCCGGAGCAGAAAAAGGCAGTACAGCAGCCGCTGCGGCAGCAGCATGCGGAGCGGAAGCAGCTGCAGCAGCAGCAGCAGCAGGCTACCCAGCAGCTGCAACGGCAGCGCACCCAGGAGCAGCAGCAGCAGCAGGGAAAGCAGCAGCAGCAGGGGAAGCAGCAGCAGCAGCAGCAGCAGCAGCAGGAGCAGCAGGAGCAGCAGCAGGAGTCTGAGGGCACTTTTAGTTCGTATATGACATTTGGGCTAACTGGCTTAAAGCGGCTGCTGACGGGAGAGACTTTCTCAGAAGAACCTGCAGCAGCAGCAGCAGCAGCAGCAGCAGCAGCAGCAGCAGCAGCAGCAGCGGATAAACCAGAAGAGGCAACAGTCCCAGCTGTAGAGACACCAAGGGATCGGAGCGGGACGAAGGCGCGAGACACTGCGCCTACGAGCAGCCAGCAGCAGCAGCAGCAGCAGCAGCAGCAGCAGCCAGAAGAGGCAGCAGCAGCAACAGCAGCAGCAGCAGCAAAGGCAGCAGCAGCTGAAGCAGCGGAGCCCGCAGCAGCCCCTTTGCAGTACAAAGACCTGGGGGCCCCCCAGGAGGTCCCTGATGAAGAAGAGGCCCCCCAGGAATGGCTGGAGGGCCCCCAGGAGGGGCCCCCAGCTTCCTCGGGGGGCCCCCCGGAGGGGCCCCCAGCTTCCTCGGGGGGCCCCCCAGGGGGGCCCCCCGGGGGGCCCCCCGGGGAAGCTGGGGGCCCCCCGAGCGAGGGCTTGAGTTGTGCGCAGGTAGAAATGAGTTCAGAAGAGGCCCCTGCAGCAGCAGAGTCTACAGCCTCCACGGAGGCCCCGCAGCAGCAGCAGCAGCAGCAGCAGCAGCAGCAGCAGCAGGAGGGGGCCCCGCAGCGCCAGCAGGGGGGCCCCGCGGAGCCCGGGGGGGGCCCCCCCGAGCAGCAGCGCAGCAGGGGGGCCCCTAGGGAAGGGCAGGAAGGCCCTGCAGAGGCTGGGGGGCCCCCGGGGGCCCCTCTGGAGGGGCCCCCGGGGGTCCAGGGAGGGGGGCCCCCCAGGGAGGGTCTAGGAGGGGCCCCTGGGGAGGAAAGGCCGGCTTTTGAGGAGCTGGGGGCCCCCCAAGATGCAGCTGCTGCTGCTGCTGCAGTGGGGGCCCCTCCTGGGGCCAGGGGGGCCCCTGGGGGCCCCCCTGGCCCCGCAGGGGGCGTGGGGGGCCCCCCTGAAGAGGCCAAGAGGGGGGCCCCTGGGGCCCCTGGGGGCCCCTCTGAGGGCACAGGGGGGGCCCCTAAGGATTCTAAAGGGGTACTAAAAGAGGAAGCTGCTGCTGAGCTGCAGCAAATCTGCAAAGGGGAAGAGGGGCCCCAGAAGGAGGGGGCCCCCACAGCTGGGGGCCCCTGGCAGGGGGCCCCGGGGGCCCCCGGAGTTGGGGGCCCCAGTACCCTTCTGGGGGCCCAGGGGGCCCCCACAGCTGGGGCCTCTAGGGAGGGGGCCCTGGGGGCCCCCCAAGAGAAAGGGGCCCCACAAGAAGAGGGGGCCCCTGGGGATGAAGGGGCCCCCCAAGAGAAGGGGGCCCCCAAAGAGAAAGGGGCCCCTGAGGAGGAGGGGGCCCCCAAAGAGAAAGGGGCCCCTAAAGAAGGGGCCCCCAAAGAAGAGGGGGCCCCCAAAGAAGAAGGGGCCCCCAAAGAAGAAGGGGCCCCCAAAGAAGAAGGGGCCCCCAAAGAAGAAGGGGCCCCCAAAGAAGGGGCCCCCAAAGAAGGGGCCCCTAAAGAAGGGACCCCTAAAGAAGAAGGGGCCCTTGAAGATGAAGGGGGGCCCCCCGAGGCCCCTGAAGAGAAGGGGGCCCCCGAAGAGAAGGGGGCCCCTAAAGAAAGAACCTTTGATGATGGGGCCCCCCTGGGGGCCCCCCTTGAAGAACAGGGGCCCCCAGCTGCAGCAGCGGGGGGGCCCCCTGAGGGCTTGGGGGCCCCCAGAGGAGCAGCTCGGCCTAAGAGTGGCGTTGCTGCAGCAGCAAAAGAAGCCCATAAGGGAGCAGCAGCAAACCAAGGGGCCCCCGGGGTGAGGGGGGCCCCCGTGGGGGCCCCCAAGAGGAGTGGGGGAGGCGCAGAGGGGGCCCCCAAGAGCAGCAGCAGGCCGGCAGCTGAGGCCCTGAAGAAGCGGGGGGCCCCCGCAGCAGCAGCAGCAGCAGCAGCAGCACCTGCTGCTGCTGCAGCAGCAACGACTCGAGCTAGTCTCTTGAAGCAGCAACACAGCAGAGGCAAAGAGGCCCCACAAACTTTGCTGCTGAGGGGTGGGTCCAGCAGGGGGGCCCCCCTTAGGGGGGGTTTAGCTGGCAGCAAAGAGTTCAACAGCAGCAGCTCAGGGGCCCCTGTGCAGAAGCGCCACTCAGTAGAGCAGCGAGGGGGCGCAGCAGCAGCACCAGCAGCAGCAGCAGCAGCGCCAGCAGCAGCAGCAGCAAAGTCGGCTAGGGCGGGCGCAGCGCAGCCCAAGGGCGCAGCTGGAACAGCAGCAGCAGCAGCAAAAGCAGCAGCGAAGAAGCCACAGGAAACACCCCGAAGGAGCAGCACCATGTTTCCCCGGCGAGTGGCCGGGGAGCCCAGCAGCAGCAGCAGCAGCAGCAGCAGCAGCAGCAGCAGCAGCGGGACTGCGCAGCACGTGCTGCAGCGGGGCCTCTCTGCAGGGGCAAAGGCCCCCAGGGCCGGCCAGGCAGCCCCGAAGAGGTGGAAGTGAGGGGCTTTTTGTCTGCAGCAGCAAATAATTTGTGTGGCTTTTTGCCCAGCCAGTCCGCGGGAAAAGCAAAAAGGCTTTAGTTTTCGAACTTGTCTTTAAAATGCAGTTAATTTGCGCGGCGTTTTGCTGCAGCTGCCGAGGCAGCTGCAGCGGGAAGCTGCAGCAGCAGCAGCAAGCCGCTTGGGAAGCGGAAAGAAGCCACGAAACTGCGGGAAGCAACGGGATTCTTGAGAAGATAGGAATGCCTATGCCCTTTATTGACTTTTGCTGCTGCTATTTGAGATAAATTGCCAGTTTAGAACTGAATTGCTTCGCAATTTGCTGCTGCTGAGGAGAGCTGGCAGCAGCAGCTGCTGCGGCGTTTCAGGTGTATGCGCAGCTCGCGAAGCTGCGCAGCTGCAGCAGCAAACGCGCCCGCGCTGCTGTTCAGTTCTGCACTTCTGCTGCTGCTTTTTGGCTCGTTTTTGGACTTTTTTGCACAAAATGAAATTCCTCAGCAGCTGCGGGCTCTTCGGAGTGGAAGTTGTTGCAATTTATTTCTTTTTTCCGGCTTTTGTCGGCTGCGAGCGCGCGGGGTTCCTGCCGCTGGGGCCCGTGAGACTGAAACTGAGTTCAACTTGCGGGATTTCGAATCGGAACTTTTAATTAATTCATTTATTTAATTATTTAATTTATTTAATTTTGAATTTGCCGCTTCTCGAAATGCTCAGGGAGCCACGAGTGCGCTGAACGCGGCGCTGACGGGAGCTCCGGATTTTCAAATTCGAATTCACGTGCGGCGAAACAATTCAAGTTCGCGGCCGCAAACTTGAACTTGAACTGCAGGCGCCAGTGGAAGACACGCAGGACACGCTGGCCTCTTTGGGTGAATCTTTCGCTTAATCGGCGACTTAAAAGAATTATTTATTCAATTTAAATGTTATTTGCAAAAAACTAAACGCAGATTCGCTGGTTAAGCTCGAGGAAGCGGAGCGGCGGCTGGACGAGGAAGACTACGCGGCGGAGAAGCAGCGGCTGCTCAACGTGCACAAGAACCGGATTCGGCGAGTGTTTGTTGCAGTTCAAAAACAAAAACTGGAAATTAAATTCAAAATGCATTTCTTTTTCCTTTTTAAAACAGAGATCTCGTCTTCGCGGCCTTCGAGCCGCTCCACGCAATGGTCCGTCAGCCGCCGCAGCCGCAGCGCCCGCCTGCGCAGCCCCCACGCCTCTCTTTTGCAGATTCCCAACCCAATAACCACCGAAGTTCTTCAAGGTTTGTTTAAGTTGACAAATTAATTCAAATTAATTCAAATTTATTCAAAAAAAACTCGCTTTCGCTTTTTTTCCGCAGCTTTCCGCGCCTCCCGCGCGGCGGCTGCTGCGCAGCCGTAGCCAGCAGACACTCCGGCTTTCTTTCCCTCGCGCATGCGCTGCCCGAAGCCCTTTTTCGGATTTTTTTCCGCAACAAATATTCTTTTTGAATTTCCTTTTCGTTTTTGCTGCTTCTTTGCGGTTTGTCTGTCGACTTTGCGCGCGCTGCGCTGCTCGTCGCGCTGCTGCAGCTCTGCGCCCGCGCTGCTGCTGGGGGTCGCGCCGCGCTGCTGCTGCTGCTGCTGCTGCTGCTGCTGCTGCACTTCTGCACTTCCAGTTTCTCTTTTCCGCAGCAAACTGCCAAAGCTGCTTCCCCGACAGCTGCTGCGCCCCCAGACCTTCTGCTGCTGCAGCAAAGCTGCTGCTGCTGGCGGCCTCCAGGTTCTGCAGCCGCGCTAGACTCCGGCGCGCCTCCGCGGACTCCAGCGCCTGCCCGCGCGCGACGCTGCAGCAGCAGCAGCAGCAGCAACAGCAGCAGCAGCAGCAGCAGCAGCAGCTGGCGGCGGACGATGCGGGGCCAGAGCGCGTTGTGGAGGCTGTGGGCCGCAGCCGCTGCTGCAGTGCTGGCCGGGGAGCGCGGGCGTGCTGCTGCTGCAGCAGCGCAGCAGCAGCACCCTGCAGCAGCAGCAGCAGCAGCAGCAGCAGCAGCAGCAGCGACGGAGCTGGAGTGGGAGGGGCGGATCGTGGCGCTGGGGGACCTGCACGGAGACGCAGCAAACGCGCTGCTGCTGCTGCAGGCCCTGGGCGTGGTGGACAGCAGCAGCAAATGGGCTGCTGGCAGCAGCACACTTTTGCTGCAGACTGGAGACATTGTGGACAGAGGCCCCGAAGGCAAACTTCTCTATGAGCTCTTCAGCCAGTGGCAGCAGCAGGCGCAGCAGCAGGGCAGCAAAGTGCTGCTGCTGCTCGGCAACCACGACGCCATGAACCTCTGCGGCGACTTCCGGTGACTAGGGTTTAGGGTTTAGGGTTTAGGGTTTAGGTTTAGGGTTTGCGGTTTGGGGTTTAGGGTTTGGGGTTTAGGGTTTAGGGTTTAGGGTTTGGGGTTTAGGTTTGGGGCGTGCAGCGCAGCGCGAGCCAACGCCGCGTAGCGCTGCAGCCCGAGTGCGCAGCTGAGCACCCAGGGTTTAGGGTTTAGGGTTTAGGGTTTAGGGTTTAGGGTTTAGGGTTTAGGGTTTAGGGTTTAGGGTTTAGGGTTTAGGGTTT